AGGCCTACCTCAAGTTGAAAGGGGTCCACAACAAGAAGACAAATGCCTATACCCCACAGGAGAATGGCATTGCTGAGCAGATGAACTGCACACTTGTTGAAAGTGTGCAGGTGATGCTAAAAGACACTGGACTGCCAAATAAATATTGGGGGGATGCTATCCAGTATGTGGCCTACCTAATCAACCAATCACTGACCCATGCTATCTCCGAGGATGTCACACCATATGAAGCCTTTACAGGGATTAAGCCATTGCTGGCCCATATCTGAACCTTTGGCTGCACTGCACACATACATATACCTGAGGAAAAAAGGAAGAAGCTAGAAGCAAAGTCCTTAAAATGCATTCATCTGGGCTTTGTGGAGAACAAGAAAGCATACCTATGCTTACACCAGCCCACTGGTCATGTCTTTGAATCCTGGGATGTAGTATTTGATGAGGGAAGCACAGCAGTGGGCCTAGATCGCATCCAGATAGACAGATAGAAGAAGATCCTGCAGGCATGGTTAGTAAACCAGCGGACATAAGAGGGAATGCCCAAAAGGGCAATATGTTGCACCTGGATACCATCAGGGCTTCAGGCATGGAAGGCCATGCTCGCATGGAGTCTGATGATGGGGATCTCGAGTCTGGTGAGGGAGAGAGTGAAGATGTTGTCCATGAGGTCGAAATTGAGTCAAATGATGCACCTGATCACTCAGGATCAATGGTAGATCATTCCCCACAGCACTCAGAGGGTAACATGCCAGGCAGTGGCTGGAGTCCTAAAAAAGCGCTTGAAACAGCCTCAAAACCATCAGTAAAGCGAGATAGGACGATGCTGAAACCTACCATGCATAAAGCGACACCCCTGCAGCCCTATCCAACTCCAATTCTGCCTCGAGAGACCCATAGGTCCACCAGAACATGAAAAGTGCCACCTAGAGATGTCGATTATTGCTTTTTCATCAATTCCTATGACAGGACAACCTTACCTAGTCAACAGCTTGAGGTGCCAGAGGGTTCAGGTGCAGAGAGTGAGGGTGGAAGCCCCATTGATGAAGTCACTCGAGAGCGAGAGCATGTGTGTGGCAACAGTGAGGCTGAGGTGGCTGAGATGAATGAGGAAGTGGCTTACAAAGCATCCACAACACATGACAATGAACCTCACTCATTCAATGATGCAATGTGATGCACCAATGCAGATCAGTGGTATGCTGTGATGATTGATGAATTACAAACCTTTAACTCCATTGGACTGTATGAGGAAGTTGCCCTGCCTCCTGGCCATAAACTGATTGACTCAAAATGGGTCTACAAGATCAAGCAAGGGCCAACTGGTGAAATTGAGAGGTACAAGGCTCGTTTGGTAGCCAAAGGCTTTACACAGGTACATGGGATTGACTACATGGAGACATTTGCACCCATCACCAAGTTTGCAACCATCTGCATACTCCTGGTGCTTGCCACTAAGTATAATCTTGAAATTCATCAGATGGATGTTAAATCTGCATTCCTAAATGGACTATTAGATGAAGAAATATACCTTCACCCCCCTCCAGGCTTTCCTCCTGACAGCAACAAAGTCTGGCAGCTGCTACGAGTGCTCTATGGCCTTAAACAGGCCCCCAAGTCATGGTACTCTCATCTTCAGACTGTTTTTGAATCCCTGGGTTTCACTTGAAGCCAGGCCAACCATAGCCTCTTCTTTAAAGTTGAGAATGGCATACTCATTGTTGTTGCTGTCTATGTAGATGACAAGCTAATACTCTCAAAGTGCCACACAACCATTGAGCACATCAAGGCTCAGCTCTTGCATGAGTACGAGATGAAAGATCTGGGAGAGGCATGTTGGATTTTAGGAATGGAGATACTTCATGACTGTGATAAAGGTATCATACAGCTCTCACAGAAGAGATATGTTGAGAGTATTCTCAAGTGCTTTGGAATGAGTGAGGGGCAAGCTGTCACAACCCCCATCAAGCCTAACCTAAAGCTCAAAAAACTAGAAATTCCAGAGGCTGACACCAAGTCATACCAAGGCACTCTTGGAGCCCTTATGTATGCAATGCTAGCAACAAGGCCTGACCTTGCCTTTACTGTAGGCATGTTGAGCTGTCATGCTGCATGCCCTGGGCATGAACACTCTACTGCGCTAAAGCATGTTTTTCACTATCTGCAATGCACCCCCAATGTCCATCTTACCTATAAGTGAGACTCAAATGCATGCATGATTGGGTATGTAGATGCAGATTGGGCAGCAGATATCAATGACCACCACTCTGTCACTGGCTATACTTTCATCCTTTCTGGTGGAGCTGTTAGCTGGTCATCAAAAAAGCAATCATCTGTTGCTCTCTCGAGTACAGAAGCTGAGTACATGGCCACATGCACTGCCATGAAGGAAGCTATCTGGATTTGTACCCTAGTCCTCAAACTCAAGACTGTGTCATCACACAAACCCACTCCCCTCCTCATTGACAATCAATCTGCTGTCTCACTGGCTTGAAATGTGATGTTCCATGACCACATGAAACATATTGTGATCTGTCATCACTTCATATGAGAGAAGGTGGATTCTGGAGAAGTAGTTGTCAACTATGTGTCTACCAATGACCAGGTGGCCAATGTGCTGACTAAGGGTGTGTCTAGGGAGAAGCATGTTCATTTCTCTGAAGCTATGGGTATTATTTTCTTTTAATTCCTTCTTGACTATACTCGTTGAAGGGGTGTGTTGGAGTTTATCACCTTTACCTTAGTTGTGGTTCACCAAGCACAGCATTACATAATCCAAAAGCGGACACTTAGCAGTTTATTTTTTTTACTGCACCTCAGCTTCAACCAACTTGAAGTCTGAGGAGGGACTCCTTCCATTCATTATATTGGAACACTTACTTACCTACCTACAGTATATTCCTCTCTATAGGTAGTTAGTTGTTTAGCTTCAACCAACTTGAAGTCTGAGTATATTCCTCTCTATAGACTTGACAATCCTGCAGCTCGTCATCCTCCAAAAGTCACAACTATCACTATATCACATTCACTACTACCAGTACTACTAGATAGTTATGAAGTTATCCAGTTAAGTATGTATCAAGAGAGGCCTTCTTTACAAGAAGTAATGTTTCCTGTCACACATGAGCTCTGAGATCTGAATATCTGAAGTTGTCTGGATAACTTGAGTGATGCACTCTCCAAAGTCAAGCTGCTCACAGAGTACTCTCCTCCATGGGTGCCCTCTTGGCCTGTCTAGCCTATCTTGTCATAACTCAAATAAAGAACAAGAGTTCCCACTTCAAAATCCCTATAAATGTTATTGATCATACACATTGTGAACTGATACCACTCCCAACTCTGTACAAATGTATTTAGTCCGAACAGAGTGGCAAAGAAGAAGCCACTTGCAAAAAATGCGAGGTATGCCCACTGTTCTAACTATCCATTCTGTAGAAATCTGTGTGTGCTCAGGTGACTCAGACATGTCAATTCAACCAGGTCAACCAAAGAATTCCACCTATACAGGGACAGATTGACAACTGAGACACAGGAGAAGTATTGCCTCAAGGCAGAGCGCCCATGAAGGATGGAATGTGCACAAAATCATCAGACCTGAGTGTCTGAAATTGAAATCATTGCACCCTGCAGGATTCCTCAGATGGGTAAAGATGTTTCCAGACCAGGACAGCTCCACATCCTGGAATACAGGTTTGCTTATAGCAACAAGTCTGTGTACCACGAGACATATGCCATGCTTAAAAGTTTGTGGTGCCTGTGTTATGTGCTCCATTTTCAAGGAACTCTGACAGTACATTCATTGTGTGGTTGAGCACAGTAGTGGTAGTGGAAAGGAGTCTCAGCAAACCCCTAGTGGCAGTGTATACCTGTGATACTTAAGACCAGATTCAAGAGTAACTTTGGGCAGGACTCACAATTTTGATCCAAAGACTATTCAACGAACCTCCTCTTATGGTAGTATGACCTACACAAAGGGCCAAAACCAGCAGAATGACACTGAAAAGTAAATGTAAGTGTGATGTAATGTTTCTGGTGAGGTTCATAGAATGCTAGCACACAAGGTTCAGAAACCAACATGTCTGCTGACATATAGCATGGGCACATTACCATAAAGTGAGGGCAGCAGGTATGCTGAAGTCTCTCATACCAAGAACCATAACCTGGGAACTCTTAGTGGGAAGCACAAGTATGGGCATAGGATTGTGGTGTACCAGCTCACCAAATAGTAATATAGGTAGCATCCCCCTTCTGTGATGATCCCAGGGCCATGATACTTTTGTTACCATTGAATGACTAGGATTATATCAATCATAAGCAATTTCATGGCAATGGGATATCAACACAATGTACTGCAACAGCTTGAATAATGTCACCTGCAGCAGTTTCAGACAATGATGCCCAAGTGAAGATGGTGCTGACCTTTCTGATCAAGAACCTGTGTCACACCCTGTTTACCAACCTCCCAAACATGCACTTTGCCCAAACTGGTCCCACTAATGATAGTGCCTCCCTGAAGTAAGAACAAAACAGCAACAGGATATACCCCATTGGGCTCTTCTGGGGATGGTTCACACCAACCAACATGGTGTGAGTCTCCGAGGCAATAAATGTAAACACCTGCATGCATTGTTCAAACAGCAAGGAGCTTGCATTTCCCATCAAGTGCCAAGCTTGCTCTGGAATGTTGATTATGACATGCCCCAAAAAGTGAGGCATCAAACTGGATACCTTACATTTGAGGTGACTGCAAGATTGGTTCAATGTGCCAAAGCTGAGTGTGAGTACACAAATCCCATGCACTGAGATATAGGTGAATTCATCAGCATCCACTGCAAAATTCACTTTCTCACATTACACCATGGTTAAGATATGCAGAAACGATCTTGTTGCCATTGTTGTAAAAGTGCAGTGACTGCAGCCAAAGTCTATCATCATCTCCTGCACAAAGAACATCTTCAGAAGGAGATAGTCATATGCTACCCAGAAAATTGCCTATGATACTTCATTTAGATAATAGTCATTAGTGCCAGTGAAGTGCACACACCTGTGGGTGTTTCTGCTGACACCAGTATTAATTGGCCCATACCCATGGCCAAGCATCGCAAATGAGAGTCATAATCTATGCAATGCACTTGGCCTTGGACACCAAACAAGATAGATCTGTGAGAGAGAGCTGTCTGTTTGTGAGACATGTGTGAGGAGAATATACACAGATCAGGCCTAACACCTACTTCACTGAAGTTCTTGAGCCACAATACTGCTCCATTTTTACACCCACAGAACAGGATAGCAGGGGCATTAGGATGCCACACAAGTGCAGTGATGGGACTTTCAAATGCTGGCACATATAAGAGCATGCTGTCTGACACTCTCCATATTATGAGTAGCTTGTCCTCCCTGCTGCTGGCCAAATATGACCCACATGATGAGAATGCCAGTACATTGATGGTATTGCTGTGACCATTCAGTAAGTCAAAGGTAAGTCGAAATGGTGACATGTTCAAATTGATCTTCTGGTAAGGAGTAGTGTTGACAGGTTGCAGGTTGTGTGGTCACTCCCCATTTCCTATGCTTAACAGCATTGCTCTGAAGATTGACTGACTAGTATTATGACAATTGGTACAAGAACAAAGTAGGACAGTCAAATAATCTATTGTGTGTTACACTGCACTCACATTTCTTTCCTCTTACAGACTTTCATACTTTGCATGTACAATACTCCATTGTCCTAGCAACAATGTTCTGCTGCCCACAGTCTATTGGCCCTTGCCTTAGACTCGCATTCTGTACATTTCCCCTTTCCCCTTTCTTGCTTGCTATATATGGTAGACCCCTGTCTACCCTGCATTGTACTATAGCTGGACATTGAGTCCATTCCCCTTCCTTCTGTGATCTGCTGGTGGCTCTGATCCATGCAGTCACATGACATGTTCACCCCTGGTGATCGTTTACACCTATACATCACATATGCAGTTAATCCTTGTTCACCCCCATTCCCTTCTGGTGCTGACTCAAGACAGGTTTACCCTGGTGTCCTCTTGCTTGTGCAGTTGGACTGCAGTTGGGTTCACCCTTGTGCCTTGCTGTGCATGACTTGCTGTTGCCCAGATAGGAATAGGTATGGACATTCACCCTGCTTTTGAATGTTTGGTTCACAGTACTCTACATATGTATATAAACCCACATGTATTGTACTGCTCCCTCATTTGAAATCTACTTTGCAACCACACTTACCTCTGTGTGCTGTACCCACAAGGACTCACCAGTACAACTTTGCTTGGCCAAGACTAGTGCTCCAATGCTAGTGAAGTTAAATTACATGCCCCACTCACACAGTCATGTGCTTGTGCTTCACTGCACTTGATTTGTGGCATGATACAAGTCATTGGCATAACAGAAGATTTCAAATCACCTGAACACATCAAAGCCCAGACTTCTTTTGGATACCTGTGCTCTGGAATCCTTGCTAGGCAAAATAGCCTGCAAAATGAGCACCTCCCACCACCTCTACAGGAACCACTGGTTTAATATCAGTGAGCTAGCCCCTAACCTTCGGCACCAACCTTCCACCTCATCAACATGTCTTCACACCACCAAGAAGAAGGAAGTAAGAGGCCTCCATCAGCAGCCTCTTCATTCAAACCTCCCATACCAACTCATAAAGGCAAAGAGGTTCTCCAAGCAATACCACTTATTTGTCACCCATTAGTGAATACTCCAAACCCTTGTAGAAGTCTTGAAGACCCACCAGTAAGGCCCAAACTTGGGCAAGTGGCAGAATTGACCTCACCAGTAAACTTTACTTCTTATTGAAACCTGGAGCCTATTGGCTCAGATATTGTTGAATCAAATATTCAAGGGCCAGCTGACAACTGGACCCCTTTACCATCTTCATCATCTTTGACAGACATCTATATTCCTGCCTCTAATGACCTGATGGCAGAAGAACTTGCTCAAGCTATGTCTGGTCTTAACCTCTGAGACCCCTTTGCCAGCCAGACTAGGGTAACCCCTGAAATGGCTGCCAAATTCTACAAATCCCTTTTCAGAAGAGATGTGGCATGGCCTAAGGGCCCCTCCCAAGGTCCCAAGGAGAAAGAACAGGGACATGGCTCTAGGGGAGGGGGATTGAAAGAAATTGGCCTCAACAAGCCCTTCTCATACTCTGGAGCTCACCAGGATTTTTCCACCTGGTTGAGCAGTGTCAAACTATACCTTGCCATGAATGATCATATCTACTATGAAGATCAGTCCAAGATCATGTTTGCCCTTTCCTACATGGGAAGTGGATCAGCCTGTACCTTCGCTGAGGCTTACATCAATAAAAATACAATGCAACTCAGAGACCTCAAAATCTTCGATGGCTGGGATGAGTTTGTTGCAAAACTCAAGGAAACCTTCCAGGTAGGGGACACTAAGTCCACAGCACTCATCTACCTTTCCATGATACATCAAGGAGACCATTCACTTGAAAAGTACATCACCAACTTCTGCAACTGCCTCAATAAAGCTCAGATCTCTACTGAAGACTTGACTGCAGCAGTCTTCTTTGGGAAAGGACTAAATGAAGAGGTCAACAAATGGATCCTCATGTCAGGTCCTAAACCCAACACTGTCAAGGATTGGATCCAAAGAGCTACAGCAGCATGCATGGCAATGGCCACTCTTAAGGTCTTCTCTGGAAAGGCTACTTTCCAAGACCACTCCTACTTATGGAAACAAGAACAAACTTCTCATGGATCAAAACCTTCTTCATCTCCAAAGATTCTGTACTGAGACCCTTACACCATGGATGTTGATTGGAAGTCAAACGTCTGATCACAGAGCAAAGCTGCTACTTGTTTTGGCTGTGGTAAGACAGGACACATTAAGCCAAAGTGTCCCTTGTCTGCAACAAACAGTAAGTCTTCCTTTGCCCAGAAATTCCAAACTTGCATCCTGGCAATGCTCAAGGAACTTGACAACATAGAAGAAGAAAGGCAAGAACTGCAAGAAGTAACAGATGATAATGGGGAGAATGATGAACCCACTTATTCATTACATTCCCCAAGGCCTGCATGGCGGCGTGGGAATCAGAAGGCAGATCGATGCCCAACTTGCGTAGAACGGTAGCGTCATGTGCTGAAACAGTTGTTTTTCTGTCCTTGAAGTCAACTTTCATCTTGTTTCTGGAAGTTGTGGTGCCAAAGGCTATGCAAGACAGGACGGCCATTACAGGCCAAACATCCGCAACGTAACGTTCGTACCTGCCAACGGTTCGTGACTCGTCGCCATGGAAAGCATCGGCAGGTAAGGTAAAGAAAAACGCGGATAAAGTCGAGAGAAGAGGTGGAATGAAAAACTGTTGTATGATTTGCGAATCCGTCGGAAAGGCATGGAGGATCTTAATGCGCATGGGTAAGGAGTCTGGGAAGACTACGGGAATGTTTGTCATTTCACCCGAAGCACTACACGCGGACATCTCACCAGAAAATATGTATACAAACAGACCCGGTCTCGAGAGAAGGTCGGACACGACATCCTCAATGTGACCGACAGCCAACGCGTTGTTCAAATGCTCGAAAGCATCTTCTAGCCCTTCTTTAGTTTGGAGATTACGGACAGAGAACTTGTCTAAGTCCAACGTTAGAGCCATTTCTTGGCACTTGAGTAACTCAGGTCGGTACTAGCGAAAGTGGGTCGAACTCCTGAATGGTTCAAGGAGTATCGCCTTCAAAGGGGAGTTTGCGGGCGGTTGATAACAGTTGCGCCCTCATAACCTATCAAGGGTCCTTACCAGTTCCGGGGTACCATCTTCCATAAGAGATTATATCCAAGAGGAGACCTGTGATTCTGTGAAATACTAATCATTTTGGGGGTCCTCCCTGCAATGCGTATCGAGTCTGGACTGGCCCATCTCTAAGTGACACGGACTTGCAGCTCGTAGGAACATGTTCGCGGACCACAGCCCGAGTCGTGGCGAGGTCTGCACAACGCTAACTTGCCCTGGTGTGTCTGGATAAACCGTATGAGGTACGCCAGGACCGTGACGAGTTGTGACTTGGTATTAGGTGTGCATCCTCCAACCTGGAAGGAGTCGTACGCCATGCGCATGGATTTCTGCCAGCACAGAACCTTCCATAGTCTTCGTTGGCGAGGATGGAAAGTACGTAACCTGAACTTAGATACAAGATCTAAAGTTGGTTTATGGGAACGAGGCACCTTCCGTCTTCGGAGTCCTCCGGTCAGGATGCAAAGTACATGATAGCTGAACTCATTCCGAGTCTGTTCTTAGTAGATACAAGAATTGATGTTGAGCGCTGGCGCGCTGTATCATCATTATCGTCTATGAACGCATACGACACTACACCAACACTCCACATAACCAGAGCGAAATAAAAATAATGTTCATCTTAAATCTCAACCGACCCGGAGTCCAATCAATGGTCATCCGTGATACGACATGGACTCGCGATCAACGCTCATCACACGTGCATATTCTAAAAGCAATCTGTAAAGAAAATCGCGGTCACAGTGTAAAAGAGATCGCAGAAAAAAATCCCAGGACTAACCTATACAGATATGCGCTCATATCTTCCTTTCTCCAGAATTGTTGGCTCCATTCCTTGCCTGCACCTGCAATTTTCGCTGCCAGCTCGTCGTGGTCGCGGAAAAAGGCGACGACATCGTATAGATCAGTGTAGGTGACCTGGATAGGAACATAATGCACCCATTCGGCAATGCGAGATGTGTACCTGCCAGTTGGTCGACGATCAGTTGTTGCAAAAACCCCATGGTTCATTCCTCCACCATACGCACCACTCAGGATACACGGACATCTTGAGTATGAGAGCGTTGCTGGTGACTAGCCTCTTGAAACGACCAGACCAGCCGTTGCCATCAACCTGACGATTGCGAGGTCAGTACGACCTCGGATGAAATACGAAGACGATTGGAGCTTACATCTAGTATGAACTTATACCTCCCTTCCTCTTTTCTTCCTTGCATCTTCCGGAATTCAAACATCTCTTCCATCAACTTACATGTCCCAGCATCTTCTTCGCACGCCATTGGTTTCCCTGAAAACGCTATATCCATCCACGCTGGATTGATTCTTCCCATCCGCAATTGTAAAGGTTCACCGACAGGGCTCGACGCGTCTGAAGGAACACGCAGAACACTGGTGCTCCCTTCAATCTCATTTGTCAACGTCACCAATCGCTGCCGGTGTGCATGTATCCAAAGTGTTTCGGGCGAGGCATACATACCCGTCGGACTTCCCCTCCAATCAAGTCTCTCATCAGCTTTTTCGGACCACGGTACATCACCGAGAACTTCGGAGTGGTCACCGGACGTCCATCCATAGGGTATTGGAGGACGGATGTCGTGATGAAGGAGTGTACCACAGTGAGAGAACAAAGGGACAAGCATCTGTTGTGGCAGCGGCCCTCGGCGATGTGAGAGGAACTGTCCATGAGAGACAAGGATCTCAGGATGATAACAAGGATGCATGGCAGCACGATGGGATACAATAAAAGATTTGGATGCTGACATATTAGATAGCACAGGGTTGGAATCGACAGATGGAAGCACTGGAGGATCGAGCCGCGCTGGAGAATTCGGAGGACATGCTTGTATCCAACCGTCCTTGGTGACAGGCAGTAAGTGACTCTGTTGGATTGCTGGAAAAACGTCGTCATCGTCGTCGAGTTCGAGTCATTCAAGTGCATCTCTGTGACAAACGGGAAATCAACTTACTGGTCCCGTGTCTAGCAGCAGTCAAAGCCATATCTCTGATCCTCCAATCTGTATGCATGCGAGGGTTATCGCGAGCAGACAATTGAATACGCATAGGCGGGAGATCGGCACCAAATTCCTCGGTTAAATTGATGATCGCCTCGATACGCTCACGCAAAGTACGATCACTTTCGTGAACAGTCAAGTTAGCGATCTCGAGCCCGAAGTTCGACAAGGTTTTCACAACGGTGAAGATATCGTCCTGCGTGCCCAACTCCTCCACCGATCTCGCGAGGTCCACCGGGTCAAGTCCCCAATACGGCTCGAGATCGTGATAAATCTCGTCGTACTCGTCCGGAAGTTGGACATTGTGCTCGACCACATACTCCCACCTGCGCAGAAAACCAAAGAATCATCAGCCCGAAGCTGATGACCATATATCCAACATTTTCTTACCACTTATCAAATCCCAGCGGAGGTGCGCGCTTGTACCGTTGTTTATACTCTATGACGGCCTCTGCCAGAGTCTTACTTGCACGTGCAAGCTTTGAATTCCACGATGCCTCCGCATTTTGCATAAGCTCAAAAATCGGGTGTGGGCCGTTGGGGTTGACAATTAGGAGGCCATCGCTTGTGTACGTGTGCTTCTCCAGAGAGAAAATGGGTCTGCTGTTGTGAGTAACTGGGGACGCATCATGGTCTTTCGGCGGAGAGAAATCGACGACGGAGAACACCTGCAAGTATGCATTTGACCCTCTGAGCAAGGTGGGGAATGCCGTGAGCAGAACGGTGACGGCGCAGCACACGACGGTCACAGTGTACTTTGCAAGTCGACCTCTCGTCCACTTGACCATATCGCTTGAAGTTTTCACAACTTGACATTGACAACGAACGACAGCTAGTGGGAAAATACGAACATTACAATCCCCAAGACGACAGGATCAATCCCCAGCTGTCCTATCGTATGAAATTGATTGAAGCGGAGTAGGGTAGAGTGGAGTTCCGGTGACCCGGAAAAATCAAAGAGGCGACATTCGAGAGAGCCGACTGATACACAACATCTCGCCAGCGTGGTTCTCAATGACAGTCGAAGTCCTCGCCATTCCGTATCATGCGGAGTCCCACCGTTTTCCTCTTTTGCGCCTCGATGGACACACGAACAGCATTAGCGAATTCGAGCGTGTGCAGGAATTGCCATCCACACTAAAATTCGAAATGACTTGACGGAGGTGCAACGCAACGACGACAATTTGGTCCACATCGCACTTCTGGCAAGGTCGAACAGGCAGGCGTGCTGAGTCACTCGGCAGGACCACGTAACGTATAATAACGCTGGGCGTCTGCGTGATGGAATGGACCTGGCCTCGACCTGTCAAGGCACTGTCTTGTTTCACCTTGATCATCCTTTTGACACCTTTTGACATGTAGTCACACTTCATTTTCCTCTTTGTATTTACATATGTCCCTGGCGTTGCTGTCTATCTCTCCGGTTCTGACCTCTTGTCTTTCTGCAGGTATGCCTCATCGTCGTACCAGGTTGTGACATTTTATCTTTCTTCGGCCTCTGTATGTTATGAACCCCATTCGGACGCACGACAGAAAGTTGCCCTGGCAGTCTGGCTAAATTCACAGATTATGCTCACTGCTCATGAACTTATATCCTTACAGGTGATCATCGTTGCCTACGGAACATCCAGAAATACACAACACCTATAACAACCCAATACATCAAATCAAAGTCTCGAAACCCAGTGACCGGGAAGTAAGAACGACGCAAAGTATTTATGCACGTCCCCCATGGCAGCAGCCGGTGCCACCATCCCAACATATCCATCCGGTCTCACAATCACAAAGGTAACCGACTTGGAACTGATGCCAAACCTCTCGTAGGCACCACCTCCCTTTCTCCCAGTGACATCGGTATCATCGAGCAAGACTCTGAAGGTAAACATACATATAAGTCTTACACTCCAGTGAAATTATCTTAGAACTCACTTGGACCAATGAGGCCGAAAAACCAGAGGAACACGCAGGTAATTAAACTTCTCTTTCTTACCCGCCACGATGGTTATGAGGTCAAACATGGGCGAAGTCTGACCACCCATTGAATATTTCTGCAAGAGCCCCGCGGGCAAACTCAACTCGTCAGCGAGCGCATTGATTTCCACGACTCTGGATTCCTCCTCAATGGATCCGAGAAAAACGAGAATCTTAAACCGGATATCCGCGGGTAACAAATCGTGAATATCCACCGGTCGCGCATCTGCTGCATGGACGAAGACCTGAGGGAGCATGCACTGCCCAACGACGAGATTCTCCGCACAATATTGATGTTTGGTATTGACGATCACAGAAGGACCATAGTGTATGCTTGTGCCACACACGAAACCACTAGCGGTCTCGATTGCCCTGTGAGAGAGGTACATAGGAATGTCGTCGGCTCAGGTAGCACTCTACAGGAGGTCAATTTACGCACTGGAGGACCTCTTCAGGGGATATGCCGTCTTCGTTATCCGAAGTCCTTGTCTTACTGGAGAACATGGCTGCATATTGTTTATCGAAGTCAATCAAGTCTATGGCGTACTTTCTCCTCTTTGACTCGTACTGCAAAGTCATGGTGAGCGGGAGGCCCGTGTATGCTAAGTAACTAATATACCTACAGTCCTCAAAATTGATGGACTTGCCCACCCTCTAAGGACCTGAACAGGAACAAGTTTCCACGCTGCAAAGCAATGATCAAGGCTGAGCGCTGATCCTTCACAGAGGTAACATGTATATGCACCAAGGTTGTGCATATTGCTCATGCTTCATCAGGAAATCTACAAAATACTAATTCTACAATTGAAATACTATTTACAACTCTTTCCAACTATTCTCACTTTTCTTACTCATCACACTATTTATTGAAGTCAAAAAGTCAAAAAAGTTACTAGATGATGGGCTAGTCTTTTGGCATCCCCTGGTGAATGGATGAGCCATACAAATAGTGTCCCATATATATTGGCTTGGCTGGGAAGCTATTGTCTATGGGGCTTATATATCAGTGGCCCATGCAATAAGGCTCAGCTGGACCTGCAGTGTTCCATTTGGAATGGTAGGAGCATATTTCAGTGTGCCATGCACATTGGCCTCAGCCCAAATAGGAGTGCCCATGTACTATGGAGGGCTTATAGTCCATTGTACCATGTCCTTGGGAGGGCCCAGATATTATGATCCCATAGGACAGGCTGGATGAATACTCCAGTGTTTCATGGTGTATGGGAGGCCCACGATATGGTGTCCTGTCTGTCTCAAATCAGCCCATGTATTATGATCACCAATCCATGTGGTCTGGCACATATGCCACAGTCTTGTGCACAACAAGCAAGCCAATCTCCCAGTGTGCTGTCTGACTGGATTCAGCTCAAGTTGAAGTGTTCCACCAATTATGGGCCAGCCATAGTTGATATTTGGGGGAGGTATATGGAAAATAACTTGGCTCAGGATGGCATATAATATCTATAGAACTACCTTTACATGGACCCCCTGTTGGATAAGTGTAGGTTATATGGAATGTCCCACTGGACCTGCAGGCATCAACCAAGTCTGGACATTCTGAGCTCTCATCCAATCCCCATGGGGTATCCCTATCCAATTGTGTATGTTGTCCCTCATGTAGTAGGCAAAGCAACATTGGTTCCCACACACAGAACTAACCCCATGTCGAAGAAGCCTGCCAGAAAATGCAACTACAGTGCCTGGGTTGTAAAGGAACTGAAGGCCAAGCATAGGGATATCCAATACACAGTCTTCATAATCACCAACTGTGACCAGCATGTCATACCAATCAGACTGTGAGTGTGGGTCCCAGTGAAAGGGTGTGGTCTGGTTAGAGATTATGGAGACATTAGTAAAAACCAATGGCCAGTGCTGCAAGGCATTATGCATATCTTGGTTATGCTGACTTGACCATGTGTCCAATGACTGCATGGCTTGCCTTCCAGCATCATACAGGCCTGGGTGCATAATTGAAAGTGCACTGGAGAGGATGGCAGCCAGGAGGTAAGACCACTTGGACCATTCATGACCAGCATCCATCTGTAGGTCAGTGGAAACTGATGGGGAAAAGTTCATGGTCTGAATGCCACTTGAGAGACATACCCTGAGGTAATATAGCCATACCATATGCCCCTGTTGGTGCCTGGCTGGGGAAAACTCCAGGCACCCTGGTGACTGTGAAGTGTGATTGAAATATTCAGCATTTTTCTGCCAGGAGCCACTTGTCATACTCTTGGACATTGTGTAGTGAAGGGGGTCCAGAGTGGCAAGCATGTGTGTCTGCAGGGATGCCTGAATAATATAGAGTGTAAAGGAAATGTTTGAACTGACTTGCAAATCATTGGTGATGGCACCAGGAGGGTACCACAATGCAATGGTATTGCCAGTACCACAGATTACTGTAGGTTCATCCACAAAGCTAGTGAGACTTGATGGATGCACTGCCAGGTGGCCTGCCTCTCAGGTTTCATCAACCCCCAATTCCATAGCTGAAAGGCGCTCAGGAAGCCAGATCAGATCAATGCTGCTTTGCTCTGCAATACAATTTACATTTGACTTTCCATTCAGCTGGGACATCAGCTTACTTCTATTATTGTATGCCACATGCATGCTGGCCACTATCTGATTCATAGCAACAATGCCATGTGTTGGAATGTAGAGTGGAGGATCTGGTTTGGGGGCATTTGGTCCTGGGAAGGTTTGACTGGAAAATTCCTGGCACATATAGTGTGTAATATCCTGGGTGGCACTGTGATTTATTGCCATTAAGAATGGAAGACGATATAGTGAGCATGGTGTTGATGATGGGTTATCTGGTAGCTGTAGTGTGTAGTATGGAACCATGGCTATGTATGCTGGTGTTTTCCAGACCATAGTGAAGCTGCCATGGTTACATGGCATTGGTAAATGACCATTCCAGCCTTCGAAAACAGGTGCCACCATGGTGGCATAGTACCTCCAGCTTCCACATATTATTCCAGCATGGTATGGGTACCAAGATAGAGGCAATAGATGGCAAGTTCTGCTATGGCTCCAGTGCTAGCTACACTTCCTACCACACTGGTTCCATTTCATGGTGTTCATGTTCCTTTATACACCATGCCAAAGCATTAGATGATGGACTGGGGCCTTTCAACCTAATTTTGTACTCCACAGCCATTGAGAAAACATGATGCAACCTTTTCTAGTACAGGTCTGGCAGTGCTGGTAATGCACAGATACAATGTTCTGCTATGGGTCTGGCACTAGCTACACTTCCTACCATGCCAGTCATATTTCAGCATGTGGACCTTTCATTATACACTGTCCACAAGCATTGGATGATAGCCTGGGGCCTTTCCAACTAATTGCCTATTCCACAGCCATTTAGAAAATGCAATGCTGCCTTTCCCAGTACTGGTCCAGTGGTGCTGGTAATGCATAGATACACTACAGGATCAACAATGGTCTTGTTCAGATTGATATCCAGCCACTTGGCCCATGATAACTGCTGTGCCAGGATAGGCCACTTGCTATTCTGGCCTCCCAGGATGTGATTATTGATGATCTCTTATCTTGCAGTCATCACATGTGTCAGCCACATTGCTATGTAATAACATTTGCACCCAATCCAACTCTACTCTGAATCACCATGGATGTCAGGACCACTAATCTATCCTACCTCTCCATGATAATCCAATACATAGGTGTCCAATTTAGATGGTTCACATATGCTTTGCAGCAGGCCAACAACCCAAGCAATCAACTGCCAGATGACTGGTATTGGCAGGTTCAGGTGGAAACAGTGAGTTTGTCAAAATGGATGCTGGTTCACTGTGTCATGCACTTTTCCACAGCATATATTGAAGCAGGCCCTGGCTACCTGCAACTCATATGGGACAATCATGAAGGTTCCATATGTTGCCAATGAACTGCTTTGGTGGATGGCCATACAAAATATGGGAGAGACTGCCCTGCTGGCACACATCATGGAGTTGAATGTGCTGCAGGTCAAAAGAGGAGAGGTGAGATGTAGGATCCACACTGGTCCTATGCCACATACCTGGTGGACAAGGGACCCTACCCATCTGGATGGGTATGATTGTTGGTCATTGGAGGAAGTTTTGCAGGAGGCCAAGGAATTCTTTGTTGGGGTTGAGGTGCATGGTGGTCATTTTTTGATCATTCCATTGAATCCATCTGTGCCATAGGAAGGAAAAGACAGTCTCCCACTGCTGTGTGACATGGACTGGATGCCATCAGACAGCATTGGCCAGTTGATTGAAAGCTGTGATGAGATGATCCATCAGGAGGAGGAGGAGATTTGCTGTAGGGAATAGGTACTCCCTACTAAGGGGATTTAGTTATTTTATCTTTTCTACTGTATTTTTGCTTTGATTTACATTAGTGATACTTAGCCTACCTGTGTGGCGCATTTTTGGTAGCTTAGTCAGCATTTTTGCCCACTAGTGTGGGTCTAGAGTACACAAAAAAAAAAAAAGAAGAACCAGACTGTGAGACAGTGAGAAGTAAAAGACTCCAAGTGAAAGACTGCAACAAGCCCTCATTGAGGCACCCCGAGATGACCTCCAGATGACATTATTCACTCATTTCCCCACTCCATTCATTCTGACCAACTCCAGTCACTCCTTCACCCTCTTTTCTCAATTCCAAGCTCAGAACCCCTCTGGGTCAAACTGGACCCAATTCTATCAAGCCCTAGGAGTCCCCTGCACTCCCTAGCATCGCTTTATACCTAACTTACATCACCAGCTCCATGGTGTGATGGAATTCTGCAGTGAATGGCTCACCCTTTTTGACAGGCTTGGACAAGTACAGGACCAGCTTGAGGACTTCTGAGTCAATTCAGTTACCTGGCCAGGAGCCACCAATAAGTAGGGTGCTGTCCTCATTACACATCTCATTAGAATCTTGATATGTAATTTCCCCAGTTTCATACTATCTAGAGATATATGCACATTACTCTTCCAATTCATCTCTTGAAGTACATCCTAGTGTTCTGGCTAAATCCTGATACATCTGGGACTGCCTAGCCATATAACATGTGAAGCCAGTATTGCCCACTGCTAATGCCTCCATATGCTGGCCACTCCAGAATTTCTCCTTGTGTAAGAAGAATTTCTGTGTCCACCCAGTCTCCAGTGTGAGTAACTCTAGCTCAACTGCAAAAGCCCCACACTCATCTATCCAATCCTCATAGTCCTTGTCTCCCTCCTCATCTTCTTCTGCTCTTGGCCTCCTCAAAAGTCCATCTGGTGCTGTGTGCTTGTGTGCTGGAACATGTATGAGCTTGAAGTTGAATAGGAGAATTATGGTGATCCAATGATTTATGATCACATTAGGCTGTAGGTCAGGATTGTTAATCATCCCTTTGATGTACTGCACATCCACCTCAACAACTAAATTCTGCACACTGAAGATATGAAGTCAGATGTTGTGCAAGGCATGGAAAAGCCCAAATAGTTCTAGCTTAGCTTGGCTGTAGCAGTGTTCGCAATCACTGAGAGTTATTGAGCTGAACCTAGCAGGGTAGCATTTGCCATCTTCCCACTCCTGCATGAGGAGGTACCCAACAGTGATGTTAGAAGTGTTGACTACTAAGATGACTTTCCTTTTGGAATTATAGTTGATAGTTCGCAATGCAGGGGACAAGACGATTGCCCAGCAGAGGTACTCCATGGCTTCC